CAACACTGTCACATTCCAGGACAAAACTGTCTGGCTTTGGTCTTATCCTTTCAAGCTGAGTCAATAGTCATCTCAGTTACATAGATCTTACCTTCAGGTAAGAGACAAGAACTTACCCTCAGGATCAGGACAAGTCCTCATAAATAACTCCAAGTCCTTCATAGTTCTCTTAAAAATCCTTCGAACACCTCTTCTCTTGATGCCATGTCTCAAAAAAAATGGTAACTGATGCCTTGAGGTTACAGTCATTACCCGTCTCCCTGATCAGTTTTGTCTTCCCATGTTTTAGACTGTGTTACCTGGGTTTTGGACTGCCTGCATTTTCTGTGTTTCTACCAGAATCAGTTGAACACAGTTCCAGTCTTGTAGCTAAGCTTAACGATTAAGCACACACCTACACACAACCCAGAACAGAATGTGATGTTTAAATGGTAACTTGCAGCTGTGCTGATTCAAATTTCAAGGATTCTCTTCCATCTTAAATTTGAATGGACTTGTTTCCCAGATTTCATGCCACTAACTGTTCTTTTTACACTCCACAAGTATAGGGGAGTTCCATCTATATGGGCAAAGACTTGACTGAGAGGTTATAATTCTCTTAGATGTCTGATATAGGTAAGGTTAGCCAAGGAAATAATGAAATGCCTTGAGAGTGATGAGTCATTAATACAATGTCTGTTCTGCAAAACCAGAACAGATGACTAAGCGCAGGTGGGTGGAAATCTTCACAAACGATACAGCATCCAACCTCTTTCTAATGATGTCCACGGAGGTCTGATCAGTGACAGCAATATGAAGCCAAGGCTGAGCCCTTCTGGAAAAAAACCTTCCTAACACTGGTATGTGCTGGCAGAATTAGCTTTTAAGTTTTTATTTCTTTCAAGTGTTTTGTGGGGAGCAGTGGATGCATGTTCTGTCAGTACGTGGCATTCAGGTACAGCTGATCCTGCCTTGGAATGAGAGCTGGATGCTTTCTCAAGATTTGTTTTTCAAGAGCCCATGAGACCTACGTAGCAATTGAAATAAATCCATCAGATGCTGACTGCATATCTACTTGCTTAAAGGTCTTTGAAGTGCTGCAGCTTAGTCAGAGCAAAACCACAATCTGAGGTTGTGGCTGCATGTTTCTGTTCACACAGCAACATGTTAATAATTCCTTACACCCAGGATTTGCTTTGCTTTTTTATACTAGCATAAATTCAAAGGGTAAGAAGTGCTCTAACACACAACTGTTAAACTATAGCTTAATACATCCCTGTGCATCAGCTCAGACCCAGTAGCTGGTTTTGGGTACAGTTATCTCCATCAAATGCAGGATAGCAGCAGTTAGCTTTATCTGCAAAGAAGCTAAATACTGACAACCTGCTATTTTCTTCAAGCTGAGAGCCATGCATTTAGATGGTTACTACAGCCCAGCTAGCTTATGGGAACCTTACACTCAGTCACATAGGTGAGTTCTAAGCTGTAGAGGAGATGGGCATATATACCAGCCTAACAGAGCCCTCATTCCTTGCACTCGATCACTTTAAATCACTAAGATTTTAAAAAATTGTTACTTTCTAACAGAATCAATTAGGTTCTGGCTCACCTGGCTGGAAAAGAAGGCAATGGAGTGAGTGAGATGCTGCTGCCCCAGGAGTAGTGCTTCCCACCTCACATCATGGCTAGCTGGGTTGCTAATGAAGCACCAGGTGATCTGCCACAGCTTACAGCTCAGTATTCAAGGGCATACAGAAACCAATGCCAGTTCAGCCATCTATGCAGTGGGAGGAGATAGGCAGTTTGCCATGGTTCCCAGCTCCAATAACATGTGATAGTTATTCCCTTAATCCTCTGGGTTGTAATGCAATCTACCATGTTGCACCCGATTTCAAGCCCATTTGTCTGTCAGATCTCAAACAATGAGGGTCCTTGAGTGCACACAGATTTGTCCACACAGTTCAAGGAAGAAAGATCCCTGAAATGTTATTCAACGTCAGCAGCTTTTTTCCCAGAAAACCACACCAACAACAGAAAAGGGAAAGCCCAGAACAACCATCTGCTACTCTTGGGCTACAGTTCCCCCTTCCTTCCCTAGCAGGTCCCTCCTCATAAGGCTACGTGCCCCCCTGAACACCTTCCCCAGTGCCCTTCACATAGCTTATAAATGTTGATGCACATTCCTGCAGCCCTGACAGCAAATGGCAGCCCAGTACAGGTGCCTGTTTCTCCTGACTGACGTGTCTCCCCTCCTTCCCTGGCATCATTGTTCTCATAGGACTACGAGCCCACCTAAACACCCCTTAAAGAACATGGCATTTAGGTCATGAACTCTACCAGTGCTGCACACTTCTGCCACTAGATCCGCTCTCACAGCAAAAAGAAGCCATGGCATCCCATGCTCCTGGGTGACACTTCTCGTCTCTGCAGGTCCATTCTCATGACACCCAAATGTTCCTCCCCACAGGGTGGGGTGTCACGTAACTCATGAAGGCTGCCACCACCATCCTCTCAGCACAGTCTGCTTTTGGGCAACACTCCTCTCTGTCTCACCCTGGTTGCTGGCAGTTTCCTCCTTGCAAGATATCAAGCCTGTCTGAGCACCCCTCCGACACCCAGGGAGTGCCTGTGAACGATGCTACCAGCACTCCTCTCAGAAACATAGGAAGCCACACACAGGCACCTACTGCTCCAGGGTGATGCTTCCCCACTCTCCATCCTCCCCACCTCTCAGAGACCAACAACCCCTGCCCACCCGTGGGGAGGGCTGGCAGCTGGTGGCTTGTGCCCACAGCAGGGGGGTGCCTGCTGCAGCTGCAGGTCTACAGCAGCAGCAGAAATATGGTACTGGGGGCCCTGACCATCAGGGTACGGTGGGGCCCAAGCCTAGAGCCTGCACCAAAGGGAAAGGTGAGAGGTCAGTCCCTGGCACCTGCTTGCTGATCCAGCCTGATATCTTAGGTTTGCTGCTTGACAGGGTCGGGACCAGGGATGTTGCACAGGACCTCAAGCTGCTGCCCCTTGGTACTTCTCTATGTGGACACCACTAATGCTACCAGGAGTAACAAGGAGCATATCAAGCAAGAGTGACCAGGAGGCTCTGGGAGCAGGGTGAAGGGCATGGCAGCCCAGGCACTGTCTGGTCTGGTCAGGGGGTAAGGCCTGGGCAGAAGTGGACTCCTTCAGAGGGTCACCACGTGCCTGTGTGGCTGGTATCACAGGCAGGGCTCAGGTTTTTTGACTAGAGGACTCTCTTTGATGAACAAGGGCTACTGAATAGAGATGGGATGCATCTGAAAAAGAGAGGGTAAGAGTATGTTTGGAAACAGGCTTGTTAGCCTAGTAGAGAAAACTTTAAACTAGATGGGCCTGAGGAGGGTTACCACAACCTGAAGAGAAGTGAGGGCAAAAGATGACAGGACAGAGTGCACTCTTAGCAACTTTGGGGATGACACCAAATTGCAGGAAGTGGTTGTAACACCAGAGAGTGGGGATGCGAATCAGAAGGACCTGAACAGGCTGCAGAAATAAGCTAATAGGAACTTCGTGGATTTCATCAAAAGTAAATATAAAGTCCTGCATCTGGGATGGAATATCCCAGTGACACTGTACAGGCTGGGGCCGGCTATCTGCAATCAGCTGTTCAGAAAAGGACCCCAGGGTACATGGTGCACAAGTTGAACGTGAATCAGCAGTGTGCCCTTGCAACAGGGAAAGTCAACCACATTCTGGGCTGTATTAATAAAAGTGTAGCAAGCAGGTCCAGAGAAGTGATTCTTCCTCTCTATTTGGCACTTGTGAGACCACACCTGTTCGGTACAAAAAAGATAGTGACATGCTAGAGCAAGTCCAGCAGATGCCACCAAGCTGGCCACACAACAAACATAGAGCTGTGTTCAGTCTGGTGAAGAGAAGGCTCAGGGGAGACCTAGTTGCTGTCTGCATCTACCTGTTTGAAAGATACAGAGAAGAAGAAGCCAGACTTCTCTTGGAGATGCACAGCAATAGGCCAAGAGGCAATGGACAGAAGTTGAAACATGGGAAACTCCAATTAGATAACAAACCCATTTTTTTTTACCATGGAAGTGAAGAAATACCATAGAGGTTGCCTGAAGAGGTTATTGACTCTCCATCCTTAGAGTTGTTCAGGATTTGACTGGACAAGACCTTGAGCAAGCTGGTCTAAGTGGACCTGCTTTGAGCAGAGGTTTGGAGAGGGTGAACGCTGGAAGTCCCTTCCAACCTCAATTATTCTCTGAAGTAGTATTTAGAGCTAAGCTTTCTCTAAAGGGCTCAGTTTCCATCTGAATGATACAGTCATTTTCTAGAAGACGTGGGTATACTGAATCCAGAGCCTTTCAGAGATATGGCCATAAGATACCATGAGGAGCGATGCCAAGTTCCAGCATCTTTTGCTAACCCTGTGAAGTCATTAATCTTGGTTTTAAATATAACAGGGTGAAGAATCTAAAAAGTAAATCCCTACTGGTTGTGGGAGGCATTCCTCCCAGAATGTTCTCTTCCTGAAAAAACATTTTTCACCTAAACAGAGGACAAATCCCTAGTGAAATGAAAACCAGTTTAAATGCTAACCTTAATTTTATTCAATAATGTTCTGCATGGAAAGGCAAAATTTATTCTTATTTAATTTGTGTTTTAAGTAAAGACAGCACACTTATTAGAGTACAGAGGCAATTTCAAGTAGGCTTGTCATAACAGAAGCACTAACATAATTTGTATGAGACACTGCAGTATCGTCAGCAGTTGTAATACTACTGGAGTATTTGCATTTGAATAAGCATTTTTATGGGAGGAAAAAGAAAAAAAAAAGCTTCCTTTACTTATATTTTGTGGTTCCAAAACTGCTTTCCTGGATAGATTCTTGGGAAAGCTTGTTTTTTTTCAGATACTATGTGTATATTAGCTTCCGGAATCAACACATAGGGGAAAAAATCGCCATTAATCTTCTTTGGTATAAAGAGGTATATTGGTATATACCAATGTTTGTATTGTGACAATTTTTTGTATATTTTTAAAGTGACTTAGTTCTTTGTTTTTTAATTATGAAACCATGCTAGAAATAGCCTTATATATGCAAGCTCCTGCTGTTTGAAACTGAACTCATGTGGTAAAGCTTCTCTGAGAGTTGTTGCTGAATGAAGATGCTGTCTACTTTGAAGACTGAGGCCAGGCAGAAGCAGTTTATTTTTGTTGCTATAAGAGAGATTGTAAGGTGATAGAGGTTCAGTCCTCTATTGATATGAACTCTGAATTAAAACAAACATAATAAGGATTATATACGTTTACAGCAGGTACCAACTGATTTGCAAAGGGGCCTGATACAGCAGTGCAGCATCTACACAGAAGGAAAACTTGCTACAGCAACTTTAACATGCATTCCTGACAACTGGAGGCCTGCAGCTGGTCAGCCTTGGCTTGGTTCAGCTCATCCCTCTCTCCCTGAGTAGCTTTTAGACCTTGCAAGCATGTAGACACAGGACTTCTATTTTTTTTTAATTTATTTTACTGTAGTTATAAAAGCTCATTTCACACTAGGCCTGCAGGAGACACTCTTCCTGCTATTGCTGTACTACTGAGGACATGAAATAGGGCTAGTAAAACAGAAAAACACATAGCCATGCCTACTAAATACCAGCAACAGGGTCTGCCAAAGAGGGAAATTGATTTTCTCATTGGGTGACAGAGGCATTAACACCACAAAAAGCTGTACCTGTGTAAAATATTTTCCCCTCCACTTGCTCAGCTGACAACAGGTCATGTTAAATAGGACTGGCTTCAGACAAGGTGCAGCAAGTTCACTCAAGCAACCTCCAAGGAAGGCTAAAGCCAATTTGGCTGAAGTTACCTGAAGTTGCATGCATCAGGATGGGAGAGTATTTCACAGAATAGGGACAGTTTCATGGAAGAACATCTCTGTGCTTTCATCTTGTGCCGCCTGTCAGGCCAGCAGGAATCGCAACCCCACGAGGGGGCTCTGCCAGCCCAGGTATCAGCAGCATCAGCCCCTCCAGTGAGCAACTCCCACTGGTGTCCACTCACATCCTGCCTGTACACCTAGCTTGTAGTAGAGAGCATTGCTTTTGTGGGAAGCAGCTTTAAAATAAACCTAAATATGTAGTGTGACACAAAAGCACCTCTCACGTGTCAGTGTCTTTAAAGCAGTTTAAATTTCAGGGTGTTGAACTGTTATAGTTGTAGGTATAAACAGAATAACCAGAATAGTAATTTCCTCTGGGCTGCTTCCAGTAGAGAAGCAGCAAATATAGGGGGCATGACTGATAGCTGCCATATGATCTAACTGTGCCTGGAACATGTATAAATGGTAACAAGGAAATTACTTGGATGCCTAGTTCCTACTAGATCTCCCACAGCTGAAGACACTTGTAACAGCAATAGTTTAAGAAAGCCTGGTATAGTCAAGGTTTCTGAGATCAATCAAGTAGGGAAAATGCTACTATATATGAGAAAGATAGTTTCTTCCCACACAGAACTGAACACAGTGAAGGGGAAGGGGCATCTAAATAGCATACACCGATCAAGATAAGACAACTGAGTTTGACCTCTTTATATCTTTCAATACAACCTTCCTTATAATTCTGAAGTGAAAATACCGATGTAATGAAATCACAAAAATATAAGGAGAGTATACATTCCAGTTCAAGGAAAGATGTGTCCGTACAATGCATAAGAGAAATCAAGTGATGAAGGCCATTTAAATGCCATTGTCTGTGTCCTCTGAAACAACAGTCTGGGCTCACTGGTAACAGCACCTGTCAAACTCCCAGTGCTTGACTGCTCACTGTCATTAGTAGATTACTAGCACTAAAAGAAATACGGGTGTAAACAGCCAGAGCAGTAGTGATGTAGGAGGACAACACACAGAAAGAGCAGTGACAACTTCAGCGGGCTGCTGCTTCCTAGCTGGCAGCAGGGGTGTGCACCTTCCTCATGGCGCTGGGCTCACATGAACACCATGATGTCTTCCAGCGGCTTTCGGGTCAGCGCAGGCACAGTAGCATCTTTCTTGGGATAGCCAACAGGGAGCAGCAAGAGTAGCTTCTCGTTCGCTGGGCGCCGGAGCAGCACCCGGAGTTGGGGGCCACAGTTGAGGGGTGTGGAGGTCACTGTGTACAGACCCGCGTTCTGCAGCAAGACAGACAGCAACAGAGTGAGACAGAAGTCTGTGCTCTTTCTTTGTATCCATTACTCCCACCAGACCTGTACACATCCTCCTCTTGACTAGCCAAGAAACACTGCTTTGTTAGACTCTGCTGCAGGCTTTAGAACATCTGATGTACTAACAATCTCAGCAGTACCAGAGAAGAAGTAGAGAATTCCTCCACCTCAGCAGCGGCACGTTCTGCCTGACATGCCCGTATGCTGTACAGCAGGAGCCTGCCTGCAGTGCTCAGCGTAATGGGCGACCCATGGCCACAGCAAAGTTGAGAGGCAGTTGTGGGGATATCGCTGGAATATCATCCCATGGGGTTCATTTAGCTCATAGAGAGAAATGTGTCGGTTCTCGTCTCCATGCAGCTGGCAGGAAGATGCCTTACAGCTTTGTGAACATTTGTTCCTGCTCAAGAGCTGTGCCTCATGGGGACAGCGGGCACAGGCTCTGCCTCAGAAGTTGTCACAGGAGTCTGTTGACATCTCTCACAACGGCCAATGTTCTGGCTGACATCAGAACCCCAAAATAAGTCTATGTATCACTCCTCCTCTCACATGAAATCTCACAAAACTAAACAATCTGACAAATAGTAAAGAGCTGTCATTATCCAAGATATGACTACGTAGCTGAGGTGTTTCCTGGGAGTTGCACATGTGGATTTCAGTCTCTCCCTCTATGTGATGCAAGTATTTTGGAAGGTTTTGAGAAAAGTCAGACAGGGAGAGGTGTTGAGGCAATGGGCCTCTCAAGTTAAGTAGTCTCTATGATCTTCTGAAGAGGAAAAGAAACCAATAGTGGTGGTGCTGAATGTTATGAATCCAGGGCACTATGTCCTTTAATATTGTCAATTAATTTATGGGACCTGAGAAAGAGACAGCACTAAAGAGCCTAACAGGAAGCCTCAGAAATCCCACCTGATGGTGGGCTGGCTCAGGGGAAAGTGGAGCCTTGTCACTCCTACTGCTTCTGACTAAGATGCTAGTGACACAGTGCTGGTGCTGCTCCATTCCCTGTACATTCCCTTTGCTCTCAGCTCCATGGAGGGAAAATACAGAGCAATGTGCAGCTGCAGAGCAGCAACACCCCAGCAATGTGCTTCTGCACTGCTCACTTCTCAGGTTTCCCATCCTGAAGAACCTCCTGAGGTGGAGAATGCAGGAAGGGAAGTGTCACTCAAAATAGAATGGAGGAGAAATGGCAGTTCCTGTTAGGAAACTGGCCTAATATAAGACGTTTCACCCTGCTGTTATCCTGCTGACAGGCCAATTTAATTATGGGACTAACTTCACTATTTAAACACTTGCATGAGTACATCAGATACAACAAGCAGAACTGAGCACTGAGAAAATCCAACTGGCTGGTGTCAAACATGCTGAGCTTTAGAAATCAGTTCACTTTCAGAAATGCCTCAGTAAGACTGATTGAACTAGTACAGCCTGTTCTGTGAAATGTGTCCCTGATTTTTTTTTCTACAGAACTGTGTACTAAAAATGATTTGGGGTGAATCCATTTTTTAGGGATTACTGAAAAGAAGAGGCCAGTGTGGCACTGCACAGCCATGCCTGGGTAGTCTGCAGATCCTGTCAGCCCTGTTAGCATAAGACAGAAACTACAGGGGATGAAGCCTGTGCTAGGAGGTCGAGTGACAACTCTGGAAGCAAGTAAGCTGCATCACATTTTTCTTCTTGTTAACCAGTACTGAAGAATCAGCTTCTCAGATGTAGGCCTGTGCAGAATAACTTTAAAACTCAAAACTAAGACATATTCCCAGGAACTGGAGTAATACAGAGGACTAATAATGTTAAAATCTAAACTGGGTTCCACTCTCATTTGGACAGAATAGTCTTGGTATGTAATCCAAACCAATATATGGACTCCCAGTATGTCGGTTCTGTCAACGTACCTGCAGTGCAGCAAGCAGGATACCACAGGCAATGGAAACACTGATTTCATTGTAGTAGTGGGTCTTCTTTTTGCCATTTGGAAGCTGCCCATATACCTGTTTGAAAATGAGGATCAGATACGGAGCAGTGTCCAAGTACTCTTTGATCCAGTTTGTTCTGCAAAAGAATAATGTTTAAGACATTTATTTTTCAACCTTTTCACTTTCCCACAAGTGACATTTACTGTCTGCAAAGGGTCACTAAAGGTATGTGACAATTATAGCAGTAGACTAAATCTTAGAACATTTACTGAAAAGGATTAAATATTATCACCTTAAATAGAAACATTTCTGAAAAAAAAAAAATTTGAATGGAGTTCTCGATTTTAACAGATTCAGCTGAGGAGTTGATGTGCTCACTTTGAAGAGATGAATTGCATAAAAATAGGGGGTAGTTCCTGACCTCTTGTCTATGAACTGGCCTCATGAGCATTTGCCCTTGAGATTATTTAATTCCTGGAATTTTGTAGACTTGCAGCTCCACCTGTTACCAGCCGTGTCAACTTTTTTGTGATTGCAAGAAAAACTGCTGGCAGAAAAGTTCAAAACTTCTTGGCTTGAGGTGTAAATGTAAATATATTCTCATGGCAAAAAATGTTATTCTGCTTCTGGGTATTTCAGTCCCACTAGAATTCATTTGGTTCCCAATTTTTTAAATGACAATATATACAAATATGATGTAGGATTTGGATAGGAAAATCTGTGTTTTCTACTGTTCTCCCTCAAAATACAAAAAATACTATCTTATAGTTGTTTACATAGCACATAAGCACCTGAAAGATAATAACATTATGAAACAATAATTTGTAGGCAAATCAACCCTATAAAGTTTTGTGCATGTTTCATCTGAAAAGCCAAGACTCAGCAGATATCTTCCCAGTGTGTGAAGTTAAGCAAGTCAGTTAGACTTTGGAAGGAATTTGGAACAATTAAATATTTCATAATTCAGCACTTTCATAGGGACAAGCCTTGGGACTACCTCAGTCAGCAGTAAAGCTCCCAATGACTTTGGGAGCTTTGTTGTTTGGCAAACAACATGAAAAAAACTGGGACAAGAGTTATGGCAACAGAAGTTACCAAAAAAAAAAAAAAAACAAAACAAAAAACAAACCCAAAAAAACAGTGGAGCTAAACATTTGGAGAAGTTTCAAGGTGGAGAGTATATAATCCCTTTTCCTGGAGGCAATTTTATGAAACAGCCACCAAGGCACAATTCTACACATAGTTTTAAGTTTTTCTTTCCAAACATGAATCTTAGAAATACATTAAAAGTGGAAGCAAGGAAGAAATTGAAAAGGATACTAGAAGAATTCAAGACAAGCTTCTTTTATCAGTAAAATTTTCTAAACTGCAGTGCTTTCAGTAAGATTCCTATCATCCTGAAAATTACAAGGCCATGCAAAAGGAAAGAGCTGAACATCTGAGTCACTTATTCCATCTTTCTTCTGGTAAGATTGAAGCACACAGGCATAGTGCATTTTTCTTTTGGGTTTATCAGCCAAGTGCTGCATCTCACCTGGCCCTTAGAACAAGGCAGCCAGAATTAACATACAGATAGTACTTCCTTTTTTTTCAGCTCCTGCAGGGTGGGAACTCCACTTTCATCAGACAGGAGTCTTTTCTTCCCAGATGTAAATCAGCAAAAGCGGCACATTATAGTGACCCTGGCAACTGTGACTGGGGCAGTCTCTGACCTCAACTTCCTTCTATTTCTGTGATCAGGATGGAGGAAATATTTACAGCTGCCCTCCTGAGCAGCATCAGAAAACTGGGGAGAGTTTAAGGAGCAAGGACTTGAAAGAACATTTTTAAAAACAAGGTTTTAAAAATTGAGCTGAATATTTTCAGGTGCTTTTTTTTCCTTCCTGAAAATAAGAGGGGAGAAAGAAAAAAAATAAAAAAGAATGAAAATGAAAAAAAAAAAAATCATTACTAAAACTTCCCAATATAGTTTTTCTTAGACTAAAACACAACTCACTTCAAACCCCTTAGCCAACCGAATTTTTCTTACCTCAGTCTTTTCAGGTCATTAACCCATCTGTCTCCCATCCTTTTTTTGTAGTTGATTTCTTCTTCTTCTTCTACAATCTCACGAATCTTATGTTTTAAATATGAATCTTGCACTACCACAAATGTCCAGGGCTCAGTGTGTGCTCCACTGGGTGAAGTACCTTCAGACAAAAACAGGGAAAGATGAAAACCCAGGAAGGAGGGTGTACACTGAGGGGTATCAGTTCTTCCTTGTGGGCTTTCAGTCTGGCCAACAAAGCAATGGGAAAGCAAGTGGATGGGATGGGGAGAAAAGGACTGAGAAGTTCTGGACAATCCTGTTCATTTATTTCTCGAAGAATGTGAAGTCCCATTCAATGACATAGGCTAGTCCTTTCATACAGCCATCTTACAGGAAACCAAAGTTAGAGGTTTGTAAAAATTCCCTGGTGGTTTTCACAATTAGGCAGCATTATGGTGCAATATATACATGAAATAGTGTTATTGCAAAGCATTATACTGAAAGCAGCACACCATCTGAATATGCACCCAACTCTGAGATAAAGTTTTAACTGAAGGGCAAAGCTAATGGCTTTCAGGGAAACATGGCTAAGTGACCACCCGCAGGAATCTGTTGCTGCCTGACAATGATGAGGAGCTGCACAATGCAGACATCTGCCATATAGCATACAGATTTCAGTTTGTTGTCCCAAAGACAGCTGGTGTATGTAGGTGTGCACATACTAAATCTGCACTTGCTCATTCAGCCCTGATCATTACACACCAACAGCATCAGAGAATATTTTAAATGCCAAGACAATGAAAGCCAGAAGCTGAAGAATATTGTTATCTGTGCAGGTTCATATATAAATAGGTTAAGGAGACTACTTAGATCTCTCGCCCCTCATGAACATTTTAAAAATATTTGAAGGTCTTGAACACATACAATATTTGCTTTCCAAGGCACTGATTTTAGTTTGAGAAACACTGAATGAGCAGCTTGAACTATCTTTAAATTAAAATGTGTTTATATTGTGAACGTTGCCTCTCCTCAGGTTTGGGTAACAACTGATGACATTTATGCTTTGCTTTGTTTTCTTTTTCTCTAAACAGCCCAAAGCTTTCAGGGTTACTAAGTACTTCATCTGCTCTCCAGGCTTGTTCACTTTGCTGCATTTGCCAAAACATGCTCAGTATTTTAATGACTCCCAGCTAATTAGAGGAAGATGGAGACTCGTTACAGTGCAGTAACAAAGCTGCTTAGAGTTTTTAAAGGGAAAAAATGCACCTCAAATGCTAAGAATCTCTGTATTAGTAAACCTGCTAGATGCTACTGAACTTCTCTCTAAGGCAGCTTGTGAATATTTTCTACATTAGCAGTGGCTGATTCATATAATTAAGAGAAATAATGCAGGTCAAAACCACTCCTGGCTGAAGTCAGTGTTACTAAAGCAGAGATGAGGTTAGACCAGGACATGAAACTAATGATTTGAAACACATAAATTCTTAAAACAAAACAAAAGAAAATTCATTTCTAACAATCAGTCAAACAGTCTTGATCAGGGTCTTCAGCATAACACTGCAGTCATATGCAACAGGGGCCTGGCACTGATGTTGAAAGGACTGGAAAAGATATTTTGTTCTAGACTGAAACTTTTTCCCATAATAAACCCCAACCATTTATGTCAACCAAAATATTTCACATGACTGAGACAATTTCATCAACTTGTTTGGGAAAACAAAACAAAACAAAACAATGAAACAACAAACAAAACTCACACATGATAAATACCATCATAACGCATGAAATCTTAACGCATGTGAAGTACACACAGTTTGACATTTTTGAGAGAAAACACTTCAATATTTCTATTTGAAAGATGTCTCACTAAACTGTACATCAATTTTATTTTAAATAACATTTTTAAAGCTTGAAAATTAAATGCTTTGTTTCGTGCTGTTGAAATGCATTTTCCCTTTTGGGTGCACTGCAAATACAAAGTAATTGGGAATGCTCCAAACCAGTCCCTGATATATAGTTGTTCAGGCTGAGTCACTTCCAATCAATCAGTGGGTGCTCGTTCATTATGGCTACAGACGAACCCAGGAAAACCATAAGCCAAATGCCAATTCCCTTGGCTTTTCCACATCCCTTTTACACAGTTGAACAGCAGTGTGTGCCGATCCTTTTTTTTAAGACCTTGAACCAATCAGTACCATACCTGCTGTTCTGATGACATTATCGATAACCTCCCTGGGGACCGGCTCATGACTGAGAAACCTGACAGACCGTCTCTTATTAAGAAGCTCATAAAACATTTGTGACCTTTTAATCATTTCAGCCTCAGAGTAGCGCTCTGCAAAGAAGGGGACATGGGCAACATTTTCATCAAGTCCTTGCCACTCTTCATCAAACTCTGCAAGAAAATAGAAGTAGTTAGTTTTGGGGTTTGGTTTTTTTTGTTTGTTTTTTTTTTTTTTTTTCTGAAGAACGCTGTTTATATCTTTGGCACTCACCACTATAGTGCACTTTGTCCTGTGTAGGCATACATTGCACTTCTACACCACTGGAAAGGCAAAGTCTGAGATTCCAGCTGACACAGTTTATTGAACCCTAGCTCCAGCTACTGAATAAACACCTTGTTTAAATACCATGAAGCAGGAGGGCCCTGGCTAGCTGTAGCAAGTGTGATCCACAAAGAAGTTATGGCCTTCTCCACTCCAGTCTGCAAGCCTGCCTGTAAAAATGGGTTACAAGCTGAAAGCAGTAAAAAAGTGGCCAACCTTTCAGCCCAATTTTCTCAGTAAGTGAATGTGAAATGTGTGTTCCTTTGTGAGCAGTCTAATACAAAAAAATCAATTAAATTACTGAAGTTAAGGAGAGGACTTAACTACCAATATGTATAAAATCCCCTCTGAAAAGCTGAATGTCAGCTTCTTCCATATTCATGTTTCATACCAGAAGCATTACAAGTCTAGGCTCTGTGCAAATGTGACTTTGTGGTTAAGGTTTTTGGTTTCACAATACTTTCAGCATCAGAGGAAATGGATGACAGGCATTTATACTTAGGATAACAACATATCAAATGTAGGATATTGTGTTTCTTGTCTTTAATTTAAGAACTCAAAATGGTTCCTCATTTCACTGAAATCTGTCTCTTTGGTGTTTTTTACACCACCAAATGCATCTTCTGTTGTCTCTGAGATGTTTTCTTTCTCCCTTGCATTCCTAGAATCAAGCAAGGATAGAATTTTTTGCAACTATGATGTAGAAGTTAAAGCCATTTAAATTTTGCATTTTGACTAGTCAATAATATTGAGCAATCTTCTACAGAGGGCTGAGTCAGGACAAAATATTCCAGTTCTTTTTCCAGTCACATTAGGCTATTATTCCAGAATCACAGCAATCTCCAGTGCAAATTCAAACAGCAATTATTTCTGTATTTTAGTAGTATGCAGTTGCCTTAGAGACCAGGCTGATTTTTTGTTCATTTTATAAGCAGCAGTGAAATATTCACAAGTGTGGCTCAGTATGTGCAAGAGGCTGTGATATATTCAGTTTCATATGTTGAATCTAAACAGAATTATTCTGGTCCCGAAACAAAATACTTTTTGTTTTGCATACAAAGAAGTCACCCAGAAAATTTGTTTTGTTTAGCATTTCATGCCTGTGTTAAGCATTCTTGGTCACAGTCTGCAAAGACCTGGCTCCAGGGTAATGGGAAGCAGTGACCCATTGTAAAAATTATTTCTGTGGGCATCTTGTACATTGAAACTGAAAAAGGAATAGATTGCCTCTTTCTAGTGTTCCCTTTGTGGTTTACACTTAGTAAAATAGGTTATTTACTATTGAATAGCAACCAGCTGACTAGGACTTGCCTTTTGCTAGGATTCTGGTGACCTCTTTCAAAAACTTTCACACCCCCTTTTTTGCAGTTCCTCCTCCACACTCAGTGAAGGGAATACCACAGGGTTAAAAAGCTATGTTTACACTAACAAGTAGTGTGGTGCAATAGGATGTTGAGAGCAAGAGCTTCTGCTGGGGACCCAGTGTTCAATATCCTACATGTTTTAGAGTGGTAAACTAGCTGGGGAGGGGAGGCCAGGAGGCTGCACCCTTCCACACTACACATGGTACCACAGGATGCTGTTTCCAATGACCAATATGTTAAGCTAGTAAAAGCCAATATGTAAAACCTTCCACAGACAGAAGTTGATACAGTGATGGCTGGCAGCCAAAGGATTTGAGAGAAAATGTGATGACCCAAAAATGTATAAAACCCTAAGGGAAACAATGGGGATTTAGGAGTTGGCAACTCATCAACCTTTTCCAACTTGACTGTCTGGTCAGTAGAGAAATTCAGGTGTCCATTTAGATATGACAGAAAATCATGCAACCTTTGGGCACATAACATTTCCTGCAAGCTTCTCTTGAAGGACTTGGAGGCCTAGAAGCTGGATGGCCTCCTGCAACTCTGTCAATTGGTCCAATAAAATCAATTCTGCCTCTCCAAATCCATTTTGTGTATAGCAGTACTGAAACTGCAACAGAGATATTCATTGCTGAACTGAGATTTAGCAGTTACACAGAATGGCACACATCTTCATTTTATCCTTAGGCACTCACATAAGAGGAGCTTCTAATTTGAGAAATATTTTCCTTATGATAGCAAAAAACTTCCTGAAATCAACTCAGGATGTGCACTGTCTCTCAGAAGGCAGAATCTGACCAGAAAACTATACCAAAAATAGGCACTGGATTAGTGTCTTGGGGAAAATTTTAGGTGAGACTATAATTTTTGTGCTTATATCAGTGTGCTGTAGTGATCATCCCTATCTGTTTCATGTTTACAGTGTTGAGTGTCTTGCAAAATAGAAATAGAGTATTTCTAACCTAGAAACAGTCAAATAATATTAACTCCAGAACCCAAGAGTTTTTATGTACTCTCACTATTTCCTTTCTTACAATTAGGTTTTTATCAAAATTCAGGAAGTAGGAAATAGCATACATTCAGTGTACCTTAACTTTTATTCAGCCACTAATGGAGGAGTCTTGATGGCCTAGTCTTGGCTCCTAAGCAAATCCAAACCCTGTTCAGTCCTCTCTTTTTCTAGTATTATTGCAAACTATCAACAATCATTTTGAGTTAGAGATACCGAGACTAGTCTAAAAATACGGAAAATCTTTGCAGAGGAGATTTGTCAAATCGGAGCAAAGGCTGGAGAAAATTTGTGTGATCTCTGTACCAGGTTTTGAAACACAAGGAGAGGAAAGTCAGGTAAGTGATAAACCTTCAATACAGACATGAATATTGAAGGACGGAGGATGAAGAGCAAGATGAAATTACGTATACAGGATGAGGACAGTGGTCAGCCAACTGGATCAGATGATGTACTTAATCCAAAGAGGATGTTGCTTGTGGACAGGCGGGTGCAGAGGTGTAGACAGCAAACTGGATGAGCTATCAGTGCTTGAACAGGACATGAAACAAATGTGACAGGGAGGGAAGAATAAAGATGCAGTAACAATAGCAGTACCTGCTTTGACTTGTGCAGGAAGCATATCGATAAAAAATAGGTAATAGCTGATGTGGCAGATTGTAAAGAAGTAAAAAAGTGGTGTGGCTAAAAAAAGGGTTGCTTTTTGAGATGCACTGTCTTCTGCAATAGTGTGAAGCCTACAAAGGCCCCCAAGGTCACATCTAGATTGGGATACATCTTTAAGGGAGTTTTGTTGCCTCAACCACATCATTGTTATGAAGTACCTGGCAGAAGCACAGCTTTTCTTATAGACTGAAGAGCAAATATTATGATAATACTAGAAGCCAGGCTTCCCGGATGAAACATCCAATAACTTAATCAAATAACCTGTTCTTCTCTTGGTGCATTGACTCTCTTAGCTTTGGTTTCAGTGAGAAGGGAGGATGTTACCAAAAAAAAAAAAAAAAAAACAAGTACCCCTAAACTGAGATTATCAGTTCATTCGAATTATTTGACCAAATGAAAGGGTAAGGAAAAGTAGGTCTGTAACTGTGGATGTCAATTTTTAAGAGAACAAACTTGGGGAAAACAAGGTATTAAGAACAATTAAGTTGGAGAATTCAGATTGAAGAATTCAGGGAAGAGGAAGCAGAGATATTTGGCATTTCTTTAAAACAGAGGTATAAAAATCATCTTAGATGTAATTGTTTGAATAAACATATGAATTAAATGATCTATAGGCAACTAGGAATGGAAGAAAAGGATTAGTTAGCCCAGAAACCTAGACCTTGTAAGACAGGAAGTATAAAACTTGCAGTATTTAAGGTTATCTAAGGCTACTGAGTTTATTTTTAAGAGGTTTGTTTGCTTGTTTTGTGGGGTCTTTTTCCCCATGTAAGTAGAAGAGAAGAAGTGAAGCTGCTGTGTGGTCAAGATGGTTCAACTTAATAATAACATGGTGAAAAAAATAAATGTACTTTCAAAGATTTTGAATGTGAGACAAAGGTGAAGGCGACTAGTGAGAATGAATGTTGGAGAATCACCATATCTAAGCTTAAGTTTTGTAAGAAAAACTTAAAAACCTTAATAAATTCAAAATGGGAATATTGGCTGAGGCAGGAGAAGAAACCAGAAGTGAGAGAACTGGCACACAAAAACAAAACTCTTCTGGCATTTTTTTTTTTTAATAAATTCATCTATCATTTATTATCTTCCACCATGTGTCTACCATGCATTCTTAGCAGTTAACATTATCCATATGCTAAGCTAAAATCATTATCAGCACCATCTGTTTAGTGCATGCTCTCTATATATTTAATTGTTGTGTTTAGACATATTCCTGTTTGTACGGTCATGTTATACAATACTACAAATGTCTTGTTTAAATCTCTGTGTATTCCATCATATGATGGACAACAGACATCCTGCTAGTCAGTCTATTATCTTGTTAGTCACATTCTTAAGATTGCTATCAATTCTGTTGTACATTTACAACAGCCATCAGGCTTCCTGCTTTTTAAGTAAATCTGAAATGGTTTTGGCTCAGACATCCCAAATGAAATCTCACTTTAAAAGTACTATTTCTCTATCAGAAATTCCTCTTTGGATAAATTTTAGGATGATGTTTGTGTTCTTCCCAGCAGTTCATACAAGAGGATATAATCAGCTTAGAAATCATGTGATAAATTTTGCCTCAGTTTGTAGCAAAAATTCTTACCATGAGTTCCTAATAACATAAATTTACACTGATAACTATGACTTGTCATTTCATTTCTGTTGGCCACTTATTTTATGAACACTGGCACATGTTGTTGGCTCCTGGTTCTATGTCATTAAGAACTTTAACTTGTACACTCCCTGGTTTTATGCAAAAGCTGCTAGGTAATATTAACTATTGGTCCTGAGACTGATCCTTAAGAAAACTCACTTGTAGCCTCAGTGTAAACCAATGTGTTTGATTTCCAAACCAGCTTTTTCAGTTTATTTTCTAATGAATTTCTTCCTAAGCATAGAATTCCTCTCCAATCCTCTTTTCCAGTGTAAAGACACAATGCATAGGAAAACAATTAAATGTATATAAAGAAAGCTTTCAGATCTTTAGACTTAAAATGCTGGGCAGCTGACCCTGTGTTTTTTTGCTTGACTAATGTCAGACTGATACATAATTTGCCACTATAGGAATCCCAGTAGTGAATCCAATCCTGAACTGAGTGTGTGGCTAATAGGGAACTAAAGGAGACAGAGTGCCTTACTAGTGGGTCATAAATTGTGGTTAGCAGGCTGATCTGGAAATCTCAAGAGCTATATCAGGGATCTTGAGCAAAAGAAGTGTCAAGTGGACAGACCCTAGAAGAAAGAAGCCAGCATGAAAATATAGTGAAAATTACCTCAAACTGGAATATAGTTGCAGAAGGTTTCTTAAGATCTTCAGAGGAATGGAGTGGCTGTTCTATAAACAGAAGATTTGCTGGTTTACATAGTAAAAGGAAAGCTGAGAAGTTATCTGATTGCTGTCTATAAACCACAGGAGAGCATACACCAGGGCTGGAAATGTATCCTTTAAACTAACAAGAGGACGGAACAGGAAAAAAGCGTATAGAGTAGTGCTAAATAAGTTCAGGCAGGAAGAGAAGGAGTTTTAACACATGGCATGAAGTTCTGGAACAGCCTTCCAGCAAGGTTAAAGAAACAGGGTGAAAAAAGGGCAGTTTTCATGTTCATTTAACTGATGACAAAGTCTGGTGGTGTGTGCAGCAGCTGCAGGGAGATAAACACTATGATACATCATGTCCATGTAAGTCCTGAGTTCCTAAATGACACAAAGCATGAACTGTCATTGAATTGGAAAATTAAACTGCTACTGCCTCATTCATGTCAGTAGTATTATTAAAACATACAGGAAGCCTTTGAACTTGGGGAGAGGTGGGAAAGGTCTATTATAAGAAGTATCAGAAGCAACAAGCAGTGCATTTTCAGAAGAGATGGAGCATTTGGGCCTTTTTATGTTGCCTTGTAGTCCTCAAGTAGAGTACATGACAGAAGTTCCCACAATTAAATATGTTGTAATAAATGCCTTTGGTATTAATCTCTGCAAGAGATTATCCCTAACAAGGATACAAAAATTCAATTCAACCTCCTCCTCCACGCCACTGTAAACTTGGTCCATATTTACCTTATTTGACAATTGTATTGATCTGAATATATGACCAAGAAAGCGACCAACATAAAATAAGCTCCCTCGTCTAAAAGACTGAACTTGTCTTTACAACAGTCCAGATCTAATTGTGTAAAACTGAAGCAGTGGGAGATGAGGTACCACCACTTTGGGACCAGATGCCCACCACTAGAAGAGAGCCCTTGTGACTCATCGTTCAAGACAAGGCTGAAGAAACATCTTTTTCATCTGTATGTAACTGCTAAACACACATGGCCTAACGCAAGACATGGCCAGATACACACACATACAGACCATTCTCACCAATCCACAGCACAACAACATCTCATTCTGGATCTCATAAATGAAGGAAAAAGTTATGGGACAGATGGGTATGCAAACAAATCTGAAGTATTGCCAGCTAAGGCATTAAACAAATGGACTGCGTGAATGCTTTCCACTTAACCAAAGAACTGGGTTTCGGGCTGCTCTGAGAAACATCATTCTCTTCAGCTACTGAAAGCATAACACAGACAAGCTCAAGAGCAGGTGGCCCTCTCCTCTCTACCCTTCACTGCCCATAAGTGACTCTCCTGAGTCTGCCCAAGCAGCACAGCTAATTCCACTGAATGCTTTGCTGCTCAGAGGTATGCCCCTTTTGGGCGAAATATCCCTGCTGGTGCCAGTCCAGGAGAGGCTCACGGGGCTGATGTTGCCTGAGTAAGCTCAGTGCTTTTCTGACAGAGTGCTTCACTCTCTTGGCAAAGCACCCTCACTGTGCTCATGGACACATATTGAAAGCCTGGGTCTTCAGCTGCCCCTTCCTGTCAGGGGGCTGTTCAAATTTCAGCTTCCTCGCCTATACCAGCCCTAGATGCTAGATTTAGACAAGGCCTTACAAACGCTTCATCTCACCTGACGCAAGTTCTCTTCGGAGGAACTTTATCTTTAGATATGAGCCAGCTTGAGACATTTAAGTAGAAATGAACTTTTCTGATAAAGTAAGATACATAAGTAAAGTAGCAGGATTTACACAGCAGGTAAAATATTCTTCACTATTAAGAAAATCTCTGTTTATATTCATGTTTCCATTTCAGCATCTAGGGCAGTCAGTGAAAATTTTAACACTGACAACAAGGGGAATATGTTTTGATCCTTACTTAAAGCATTAGCAGAATAGCAGATTCTTACCAAGGTGGCCATATTATCTTTCACTTAGGCCAGGTTTTCCCCTACTCTTAGGCCAGGTTTTCCGCTACTGAAGAAAAACTTCCCTAAGGATGATGCAATTATTTTAATTTTTCTAGGGATAAAAGACAAGCCTGTTTTGCAGAGATGTTGGTTTGAATCACACACCATTAAGAGAAAGACAAATATTTGTTGTTAAAAGCAACATAGCAAGAAAACCTAATTTAATGTTGTATTACATAGTACATTGAGAGAAGTTTTGTTTAAAAATAAATAAACGTCCTTTTAGCCACAACATAAACACGTCTACCTACCTGTCATTTTTTGGTAAGCAGTTTTAAACTAGTACAGTTTAGAATTTAACACCTGAATAAAAGGAAAAACAACTAAGACATAAAAGAATAACATTTTATATACGGAGCTGTGGTGGTGAGGCTCCTTGTTAACAGTTAATAGGTGTGTTTATTTAGAGGATCTACATTTTTAAGCCAATACAAACAGCTGTAATCAAAGATGTCACTGATAATTCATGGGTTATCACTTGAACTACCCACAGGAATTTTAATCTGCAGCAATTTAACTGAACTAGTAAGTCATTAGTGACAAAAGAAATATGGGATAATTTTATACAGAATCTATTTTGCATTGAACAAAGGAGGATACAACATATGAACTAATTTGTAAAGAAATTTTGTATATTTGGGAAATAGTCAACAGTGTTTAAAATGTTCCAAGTATCAACTATTTCTGGAAACTGATACACAACAATAGTTCAAAGTACACTGCATACTGAGATATAAAAAGAAATAATGGTTCTTGGAAATAGGTATATGTGCAGAAGAACAATATGTTTCAAGATTCCTAGAAGCGGACTCAGGGAATGTGTCATTATGGGACAAAAAACACACAAAAAGCCTTTGAAATCAGCTTGAGGGAATAAAAAAAAAAAAAAAAGGCAAAAAGAAAATAAGTTGGATTAACTGCAAGTTTAAAAACTTCACAGGAACAGAACTCTATAGATTTTTATTTCACAAGGAAATAAAGGGATCTTATGGAGGATAATCAGGAAGCAAAAAGAAGGAAGGGCACATTTTGTGCTCACACTTTTGTCCAAGCTCTCCATCAGAAATCACTACTGCAAAAAAAGAGGCATTCTGTACAGGCTCAAATACGCAGCGAAGTGAACATATTAGCACCATTGCCACATTTTGTTCTTAAATATTTGATCAACACAGCTCCCAAATGATCCCAGTGCTAATACAGCTAAAGCTCTTATGGACATTCTCAGAAGTCACAAATGGAGGACTTTTGTAATAACTGTAATAAACCCATTTCCAAATTTTCTTGGGGATGCTGAGACCAAATATTGAATAGTAAAGTGGGATGAGATGACTACAAAATCAGCTTGCAGATAGAAAATCTCTGCTCAGGTCTTCCCTTTGCTCACACTAATGAGACCTGGCAAGAGGCTGGTGGGACTTCAGCAGTATCTCCTTTCTTTCCCTGCATTGCCCATAGGGTCCCTCATGGGTCTGAGATCTGCTGTGCAGAGGGACAGACAGGGGTCTTTGAAAATGCATTTTCTTTTTGTGCTCTGACTTGTGGGATCTGGACGAAATAGAGATTCACACCAAGAGTGTCATGACATGAGGACAGCCGCCTTCCAGGGAGCTGAGAAGCTCAGGGCACAGCAGAAGTGTAGCACTAGGCATTGATACCACTGTGGAGAAGTCCAGAAGATCAAATCTCCTTTGCTCATATTGGCAGATAAAATTCAAACAACAGAAATGCTCAGATGGATAAGATTTTTCTTACCTTCTTCCTCTAAGTGGTGGTCAGTTCCATCTTTTAAATCTTCATCCACCCATGGGCGAGATAGAGGTTTGCTTTTAGTCTCACGTTTTTCTTTCTCTCCATTAGTCTTCTTCAGTATTACCCCAAGCAAAATACATATAATGGCTATAAAGGCTGGGGTTAAGGAAGAAAATAGTGCCATGACTATGGAAACGTGGAGCCTTCCTTCCAAGTTCAGTAGTTTCTCCCAAAAAGGAGAGGATAAAAAGGGAAGAGCAAAACGGCAGTAAGCAAAAAGGGGTGGACCTAAGGTTCAGTCTTCAACCCTATCCCGCTTCTACTTTTCAGCCACCACCCCCACAATCTCATCCGTGATGTGTTCCTGCTGTTAAGCAGACCCAGGTTTATATATTTGGGGGGAAGAAACTGCTTATAAACAGCAAGCAGATGTACTGACCACATACAAACATGTAAATGTGTTCCAGTGCAAAATAAAAGAAAAAAAAAATGATCTTCCAAAACCCCAGACTAAGGCAAACACTTCTCCCCCACTATTTTTACTTTTACAGTGATCCCAGTAATCTTGATTGTGACAATAATTATGAGAAAGAGCCAAGCAGAAATGTGATTTTTAAAAACTGATGGCATCTCTTTAATGTTTAACTCATAAAATTAGTCATATTGCATGTATACCAGGAAATCAGAATATCACCAATTGAATACCAGCTTGCAGCACCACCCTTGGTTATGTAAACAGGTCAATAAAACAGATAAGTAAAGTGGCAGCATCACCTCAGTGTGAAGCATAAATGAGATGATTCACAGAACCCTGTATTTATTCTGGACGTTCTGGGGGAAGAAAAAAGAAGAATTCAGGGAATCAAAGTAAGAAATATTTGAGGGCTGAATATCTATGCTGCAGTGAATTTTAAAACTGTGATTCAGCTATCGTATCAAAGGAACGATTAAAAAGTGATAGGATTCTGATCTAATCCAAGAATGGTCAATGTCTAAATGCGTAACCCATTTTTCTACCTCAGCCAGCTGCTTGGGAACTGAATCAGCACAACAGTGCTGAACTGATGTCTTTATCTGGGACTGTTGGGATATACCGGGTAATGAAATACCAGATGACAGTGGGTGCTGAGGGTTGTTCTGGAAAGCAGGGTACAGGGGCACTGACTGCATGCGGTCACCAGCACCCATCAGCCCTTCTTAGCACCAGCCCTGCCAAGCCTTATCTCATGCTGCACAGGGCCAGCTCTGAAGTCTCTGCATCCCCAGCAAGTTAATCTGCATTTTGGATAAGCCCACCCAAGATTAGTGAGAGCAGTCATGTCTATAACCATTTCAGGAGATGGGGTGTCTCAGGGACCTAGAACGTCATGCACTGCGACTGGCACCTGCTGGGGGGGCATTGCAGGTCCTGCCCTGGCTAGGGCACCCCCCATTTCCTTAATGTGGAAACCAGGGCACATGGGAGAGAGAAGTTGGAGTATGCACAGGTTTCATCCTGACAGGTTCTCTATCCATACCCTAGCCACTCACATCTCTCACCCCACTGATTTTGCAGCACCGGGCACACCCTTACTGGTCCCATTTGACACTGCCACTCCAAAGGCTCCCTACCTTCCCATGCTTCAGCAAATACTGCTGGCTGCCTTGAGGAAGGGTCTGTGTGGCGGGAAGCACAGATTAATGACCAGGCTGCTGCACAGGAAGAAGAATGTGTGGTCACACTGGTGGGCCATGAATGACAATAGTCCGGATGGCGGTCCGGTCATGTATTCTCTTTTAATACAAGCTTCTTGTATTAAAAGGGGCAAGGCCAAGAAAATTGCTCGGCTGTGCACATATTTCCTAGGTGTGCTTAGAGGCAAAATGAAACTGCCTCACAGCTTGTACCCAGGCTGGGCTTTCTCAGCTGCCCCACTCAGATGCAAAATAAATACTTCACTGCTAGTGCAGTGCATCCTACTCCAACACACAGTCCCCATAGGTCCTGGTCCTTCTGGGAAATGTATGGGATCTGTTTAAGAAGGGTAACCCCAGAACCAGCCAAATGCCTGCATAAATCCATCAGAGAAGAAATAAAGAGCACATCCAAAAGTTGTACTTAGATTTCTAATCTAACCCAGTAAAGCTGGCAATAGGCAGGCACACACTTTCAACTAAGAGGGCAACCTACTTGAAAACCCAAGCCACGAATCTTCTCTTTCCTACTCTCCAGTCAAGTTGTGACCAGGAACACCTGCTTGGGTCATTGATCTTGGGCTGCATGTAAAAAAAGCCCCAAAACCCATACACTGGACAGGAATAGAAAGGACAACAATTATCATGTGGGAAAAAAAATAGTTAAATTTATCCTATCTCTTCTCAGTTTAGAGCAGATGTTTAAACTCATTTGTCCTGCCTGCTGGCCGTACTTCACGTAATTCCAACTAGAAACATTATATTTGTTCATGTGGGTAGGATAGGAACCTGCAGTTCCATCAGTCACATTTTCAACAGCCCACTCTATGGCAAGGAAGGAAAAAAGGAATGCGGTCTAAATGGCACTGACTGTTCCTCCCACAGGGAATATTCTCTTGTTAACCTTGAAAATTCACATACACATAAATTAGGATCTGGATGCTCTGCAGCTGAGAAGACATAGTGCGGAGAGACAGGTCTGTGCTGAAAGAGCGAGAGAAGCAATATAGGAGATTGAATGCTGTTGTTTAAAATAACTACCTCCATTTGCAGTGCTGGGAACTTTGTAATCTTTCACTCTCCTGCAATAACTTTGACTTTCTTAGAGGTGATGAGATATTAATTTTTCTCTTGTAGAATGGAGAAAGAAAGCAAGCTAAATAAAAGTCCCTTTGGTATTAACTTAAGTAAAATCTATATTTGGTGTTATATATTCAAGACTGTTAGCTTGAACTTCAGCCCCACAGAAATCCCACAATACCTTGTTTTATTAAAACCTGATTTAGTTTCAATAACTCCATACCGTAGATATTCAAAATATAAACACAGTGATGCTCTGAGGAACTGTGGGAAGGAGTGGGTGGAAGCAGTCAATTTTTGTATGGTAGATTTCAGTCAGTTTTTCTGTTGGATTTTTTTCAATCCAAGCTTTATATAAATGTAATTATTATTATGAACCCTAAGGCTTAGCAGCTGGATTTTTTTTTTTTTTTTGAGTTTCACAAAAGTCCGGAGAAACATTACAAATAACCCTACTCCAAGGAATTAATTAAGCTTTTCTGACAGACATGAAAAAAGGGTAGAAAATTTTGATAGAAATACAGTTACCGAGAACACCAAAGTACTCAAGCATCACTGCATGAAATCCATGTAAACACTCTTAAAAGATACAGAACATCATACTAAAAGCTTTTGGACCAGAAGTTTTTTCTTTAATATTTCCTATGAAATTCTATGTATAGCAGTTGTTCTGAAGGAAAAAAAAAAATGTACTAAAGTATCAAATATAGCTCTTTATTTTTCTCAAAGCAAAAATGCGTGATGAGATGAGGGTTGTGGGACTGACTTCCTACCTCTCCTGTTTCAGCACCCTACTGCAGATGCACTGTGTGAAAGCAAAGCCACCCTTCAGCACCCAGGAGTGAGCTCTAAGTTATGCAGCTCCGTCTCTGCTTTGGATATTCCCCACTGGTTCTTCTCACCATCCCCATTACCTTAGCACACCCCTATCATGCTGCTTGGAGGAGTCTGATGGCATTACTATGAGATTGTCTCATAGCTAGGCTGGGGCAAGTCTCTTGAGTTCTTATGTGTGTATGGGGTCTAACAGAAAAATTACACAAAAGATGTAAATGATCAGAGCACTTCCAAATGCACAAATTATCAATTAACATATTATCTGTGTAGGGTGAATGTGATCTTCATAAATGCACAGAGGTAGAATGGAAAGACTGCGAACAGCTAGGCAGAACCAAAACAATGAGCCCCCACCGTCTTTCCTACCTATTTTTTGCTATCAGTACTGTATTGGAGAACTCTTAAGCTACCTTATTGGATGCTATAGGAAACTAACAACATCTAGACATTTGAAAAGAGATTCAATACATATATTCGGATTGGATTAACTACCAAACGCACAGTATGGTAGTTAAAACATCTAATTTAGGAAGTCTCTGAGACTTAGGGAGATATGTGGAAGGAGGGACCCTTTCATACAGTCCTTAGCCTTTTCATTTTTGCTAATCATCTATCCTTGACCATGTACAGACACAGGCTATAGCACTAGATGGCCTCAGATGGCTAGGAGCTGGTATGAAAATCCTTACACTGGTCAAAAGTAGATCTGTGTAAATGAGAGCAGTAGCAGAAGATGACGACTGCTAACAGGGAATGTACAAAAGAGTGGAGTAGGATGAAGGAGGTAACTGCAGTAAATATAGCACAAGTCTGTAAGAGAAAACACATTTTTGGGTGCTGAATACAGCTACCATTGCACATGTCTCTTGCTGAACATTAGGAGTTACACACCTACAGGAACACATGCACTATATGTGCTACTAGTCAGTGCATAAGCCACTGTCAGGACCCTCAAGTGATATACCAATATGTGGTGGTGAAAGTGTCCACGCAGAAAACTTGCTGTGTTTATAGTTAGAAGCAGGAAAAGGTTGCCGATGGGTATTGTTTAGAGATGCAATCAAATATTACATCGGCATCAAGGACAGAAGTGAGTTCAGGTTGGAGTTGGTGTTTACTGAAAAACAAACAGAAAAGGTGTATTCCAATGCCAACTATGATCAGCCCCCAACTCAGTACGTGTCTGCTATGGGCAAGGTAGAAACACACACGAGCCACTTAATCCAGTTTCCCAATCAACACATAGAGGCAAATGTCTGGGATCAGTGGGAACTTATACATCATCAGGTATTGGCATTACTAAAAATATCATCAGCTTGATAAGTGTATTCATCTCTGTGATACATCTAGTACGTACCCTCCTGCCTCTGTCAGTGACCAGCACACAGTGCTTCTGAGAAAGGTGACCCTCACTTTTCTGCTGTCTCTTGCCTCTTCCACACCCCACACATACAACCACCTCCCTCCCTTCCCCCCAGTCAGCTGTGATCTCTTTATGACCTCTGGAGATATCAGATATCTTGCCCTGTAGCATTAGATTTGATTACCTTTTTCATTAACTTAGCTCAGATTGCCACAAATGTTATTACTGCT